CTTCTCCTCTCTTCCTCCCATTCTCCTTCCACCTTGGGCAAACACATTATCACACCTTATTGTCATATCCTTCAGCGGTCAACTCGCTAGATTACTAAATGTAATTATCTACACCTGTCTTTTCATACAGTCTTCTTTAAAAAAATGAACTTAGGAGTCTTGAAATAAAAGTTAAATAGAGCTCTCCTTTTCTTGCCCATTCCTCTTGTAGTCCCAGAGAAAACTGTACAAAAAGCACTTCTGGTTATCCGAAAGTATTTCCTAGTGTGTGTGTGTGGGCCTGTTCTCCCATACCTACTTTTCCCAGACCCTTCCTCCCACCCTGACCACTGGCTCATGTCCCAGCCTAGAATGGCTTCCTCCCCCTTGCTGCAACAGGGTCCTTCTCCCTTCTCCTTTTCAAATCCCTGGAAGAACCACCCGAACACATCTTCAGGTCTTCTCTGCCCTTTTCCTAAGTCTTTCTTTAAAGTACATCATCCCCTCCCCCCCAACACACTTCCACAAAGTGCAGGAAACTGCTTTGTTCCCTAGCTTGTACCTCAAGAGCTTGTGGTATGCAGCTCCATGAGGAAAGCAGGCTCTTAATAAATGATAAAGGACATATTTTCAACCTAGTAACAGCTTCTGGATTGTTAATCCTGGTGTGGATCGTTCTGGACATGAAATTCATCTTACTCTTCTGCTTACTGTTTACTGAAAGAGGGAAGACAGGGAAGGAATTCAGGACATGTGCAATCTAGCAAGCATGGATGTGGGGGTCAGTAGGGAGCGTGGTTACTTGAATTTCAAGGATGTAGGTAATACCAAAAGAGAACAAACAGCTATATTTATTTCCCACGTTTATTTTTACCTGGCTCTCTCCAGAGGGTTTGGAGTGGCTTACAAAAATGCACACAATACAAGGTTTAAAAAAAAAAAAAAAGGCGGCGAGGAAAGCAGGTCGAAGGGAAACATAAGAGAAAAAAAGATAAAAGTCGGCTAGCCGAGGAGTGGGCCCAAAAAGTTGGCCAAGTTTTCCCACCGCCCACCGGAGGAGGAAGTCCCTCGCAGGTCGGCCTCTGTCACCGGGGGGCCGGGGTGAGCGGCGTCCGGGGGAAGGGGCTCGTGCGTCCGGGCCCCTTCCATCCCTCCGCGGGTCTCCACTCCACAGCCCAGGCCCGGAGGCCCGGGGAGCCTCGGGAAAGGCCGGGGCGGCCTGGGCCAGGAGCAGGTAGGAGCAGAAGGCGCGCTCCGCCGCCACGGCCTCGGAGCTGGGAGGCAGGTGACCTCCACCCAGGGCCGCCCGCGGCCTACTGGGCGCGCGCTCGGTGGCGGGCCACAAAGATGGAGGGACCGGCGCGCTTCCACCCCGCCCCACCCCCACCGC